ATAAAATTTGCTGGGAAAAGGATTAAAAATATTTCATTTTTTCTTTAAACAAAAACAATTTAAATCAATCAAAAGTAAGACTTTCAGGTAAGAAGTCATAATTGAAATGTCTTCTTTAAATTCAAATAAATTTAAAGCCCAAAGTTCGTTATTTCCATTGAAAGGAAACTTTCTTTTCTTATAAAAACATAACAAATATTTTCAAAGTTAGGCAAAAAAGTCACTGTTATTCACTTTCATAACTGATACCCTGAGGGCCTTCAATAAATTTGATATTATTATGATGAGTTCAACGATTCCTTCGTATTTCACAAGTAATTCCAGCGGGTAAAAAGCAGCTGAGCAAACAAAAACTCAGACAGAGAAAAGATACTGGGACCCAGATACAGAAACCGAAACAGATACAGATATATATATACATATAATATTTGAGCCCGAAGGTCATTGCAACAATAACTGAGCCTGGCAGTAAAATATTTTATAATATTTTATGTTTTTTTAAGCGACAAAGAGCTACAACACACAGTCCTGCCCCAAGTATGAGTGCTTGTATGATGAAAAAAGAGTCTGTGTGTGTTTGCTTGAGGTCCTTGCTTTTTGTTTGTTGTTGTGGGACTTGAGTGCAAGGTCTTTAAGCACACTGCTGCTGAATGTGAGCAATAAAAAATGAGGAACACATAGAGTTCACATAAAAATGGGGAACTGGCACAACAATGTGTATTACTTTGTTCGCCCAAACAATTCCACAATGGAATATAACTCATGCAAAGGCATGAGTGTGTGTGTGCCAAATTTTGAGAGAAAAGCGGGTTTTCCTAGAGTTGAGAGAGAAACCGAGGTGAAACTAGTAAAACTATGCAAAAATTATGATTGGGCAGAAATTATGTGTTTGTTTTGATTAAGCTCGGCAGAGCGATGCCGGGCATATCCTGTATTATCCTTTGCCAACCCTCATCAATGTGCTGGCTAAATTATTTGTTTGTTTTTTGTCGCTCCGCTGGCAGGCAAAACTAAATGGTTTCTGTTCGGTTTTGGTTTTTCGGTTTCGGTTTAGGTTTCGGTTTAGCCTTCACATCTCTCGGACAAGGGCAATTTCGTACTTTATCTGATTTTAAACTTTGCAAATTATATGAGCTCATATATATATACGAGTGTATATACGCATACCTATGCCCGGCTCAGCCTTGCTTAAACATTTGCGTAACCTTTTTTATCTAAACGACTTATCCGAGCTGGAGGGCAAGGGCCCCCAGCGTTAATTTTCATAAAATACCAATTTCGGTATTTTTATCTGGCCAAGCGAAGGAAAAGTGTTTCGAGACCAGAAGCTTTCCTCACTCTTACTCACTCTCTCCCATACAATTACATACATATATATATATATATTGTAATCTGCATTGGTGAACATTTTCTAGAAAATTATAAATAAATTACCTTCTATCTGAGTGAACGAAGCAATGAGCGGAGGGTGGGTGGACATTTTCGAGTTTTCAGCATTTAAGCTTTTCGCATTTTCCTTTTGTCGGAAGCGTCGTAGAATCTTGGCATGCTGTGAGCACATTTAATTACTGCTACTTTTCTCTATGAAAACATTCCCAAGAACAGGGGGAGGGGCAGGCGAGTCTAGACATTAAAAACGACAATTTATCTAAAAAGTAATTAAGTGCTCAAGTCACATAGACGGGCGCAGAGCCGCAGAGCAGGAGCAACAGGACAAACATGGGAATCGGCATTGCCAGAGGAAGCGGAATTAAATGGAGTCGAGCAGGCTGCAGGTCAAGGGGGGTGTGGATACGGGGAACGGACGGAGATTGGAACGGACGGAAAAGCCATGGACAGCAAGCAAGTCAACTGAAAGTCGCCAAGAGACATATATACGAACTTATATGGGTTACAGTGATTGTCCCAAAAGCGGAACAAGGCCGGCCATTAAATGGAGAACCAAATTGTAATAAACTATAATGAAAAATTATAAGAGACTTAACTAACCTATATAAGTAATGCAATAATAAATCACTGAAGATATTTCACTCTATCTTCTTGGTGAAAAATAAATCGTATCGTTAATATCATTCTATCTTCTCATCTAATAAATATTTTTAATATAAGTTTATTTTTATGTTAAGAAAAACCATTAGTTCTCAATTTCTTAAACTCGATTTCCTTAAACAAATGCTTAAAAGCTCCCAGCATGCATATCCCTTACCCAGTCACTGCTGTACCATAACGATTTGCACCGACTGTGACTGCTGCTCGAGTGCTGATTTAGTTCAATTTATATGAGCCGAGTGCATTTGGCAAAGCCAAAAGGGTTAGGGTCCTTTGGGTGAGATGGCTGACACAGGACACACGTATTTGCTTAGTTTATTCTAAATGCCATTTAAGCTGCTGCTCTCGACTAATACCCTAATGACATATTTTAATGTCCGCCCAGCCACACATTCGAGTGTCGTAATTCTTAATTCGAAGAGCTCTCTTTTCCACTTTTTCTCCCCTTACATACGAGTATGTGTCTGTATTTGTGCAAGGACTTCTTGCTGTTTGTGTCATTTGATTTATGGGCTTTAAATTTGCCAGCAAATTTTGCATTTCTGGCAAAGCAGATTTGTCGGAAATAAGCAGGAAAATGCTCTTAATTAATAGCATTACCTTAATGGAATGTTTTCAACGGCATTTTACAAAGAAGGCATTAAGTGTGCTTAACTTTAAGGTATTTCACTTCCATTAATTCAATGCCATGCCATCCCATCCCCATTCTCATAAAACCCAACCACTGCGAAATGGTGGGGCGACAAAAATTAAAATTGCAGCAAAATGCCAAAACAAAAGCTCGCTCGCTCGCGCTCGAGGAAGCAATTCATTTATTTAATGTTTCCTGCATTTTATTGTCGTCTAAAGTAAATTTACGACTGCGAAGGCGCAGACAAAACAAAACCCGATTCGCGGAAATGTTTAGTGTGCTCTTCTCTATAAAGTCTTGAAAAGTCAGGGGAAAGAAAGGGGACTTTTTTGCGGCAAGGATATAGACAAAGGCTAGCACCTGACAAAGCATTTCGATTGCGATTTCTGCCGCAGTGCAGAGGAGTTGCAAATATGGAAATCATTTGCTCTTGCTCTGAAAGGTGTACGTTTCCTGTCCACTGAACTTGCATTCACAGACCCCCCCCCCTACTCACACATTCACATTCGCATTCGCATAATGCCCGAAGCTCCCTGCTCAAGATTTTAATGCCACACGCACACACATGGCAAGGGCAATGAAATGAAAGTGCATTCCCCATTTAGACGGAGAAGTTGCAGTCCTCAAAGAGCTTTAAGTTTGTTTGTACATCAGAGGTTGTGCTGGGCATAGATTAAAATCATTTTGTGGTTGCTTATAATTGGTTGGGGTTAAAAATCTTTTTGATGATAGAAACCACACTTATATTCTGTTTTCTCAGATAAGTTTATGTGTGATTTAAGCAGGCAACACATATTTTCCAGTCTTTTAATACTTCTTTAAAGGACATTTCTCCCAGTGCAGTCAACCAATGAATTTCCATCTCATTGGGGACTTAATGCAGCTCTCTGTTTGCCAATTACGCAATGAGTGCGTGAAACGCCCTATACATATACCCATACTATATATATATATAGAGAGAGAGCTAATGAATGCATCGGGCGAATTACGCAGAGTTCCCTTTGAGAACTGTGCAATTAAAGGGACGACTGGCCTCGGGTTCGAGAGTGCATTGAGAGGGCTAAGGCACGATGATAATATTTTGATAACCCCAAAGAGGCTTGCGAAACACAATTTCCATAATACAAATTGCCGACTTATTAGGCCGAGACCCCAAAAGCCCAAAACCCATTGAGTGTGTGTGCGTGTGTGTGGCCCATATAAGCCAGGGCATCCCCACTTGAGCACGAAACCGTGCAAAGTGCCAACTGGCTAACAAACCCTCGCACTCCCTTACTCACGTAATGCCTACGAGGACTTAAGTGCTTATTAACTTCCGCACACTTCAAGGCACAATTATGAAATCGTCAATTTAAACCAGACACGCAACAAACACCGGCACGCCGGGCTCATTTTGGGTTTGGAATGGTCGATGGAATCGGAGGAATAGCTGGCCTAATCGAGTGTCCGACTCTTTGGGGAGGTGGCATAAACACCTCGGTGTCTTTGGGCCACAGCAAATACACAAAACGTGACGCACACCACGGCGTATGAGTAATAACTCTAGACAAGCAGAAAATTAATACCACTTGAGGCCATGGCATGTCAATGCTGTACACCCACTGTACACCCATACACCCACTAAGGTGTAATTTGTCGTCTCCCTGTATTATCCTGGGCCCTCTCTTCCTTTATAAGCCTGTGTCTGTTCTGCGTGAGTGTGTTTTCGCCTGCCCAATGACCCACGCAGCCATTTTGCTCAGCCCAAATGTCCGAAATCTGTGTGTTTACTACCATATTAGTTAGCCTTTGGGCCGTAGCGAAGCCTCAGACATAAGCACCCTTGATAAGCAGAGCGACTTAATTAAATTCTCTCGCAGATGGGCAGGTGGAAATCGAAAACAAATAAAGTTTAATCGGAATTCCATGTAATCGGCTCCAGCATTTATACTGAGAATTGCCTAGGAAATGGATCAACTTTCGGTAAGCCTTTTGATATTCTTCCTTAAAGGTAAAACAGGCAACATCTTCAATTAATTTCTATATAATCTTCTGATAGTCACAGCCAAACTTAAAGAGAAACAAATATTTATAATCTCGAGGAAAGCAAAAATTAAGAAAATCTCCAGATTTAAAGATCGATTTGGATCTCATCAATAAACATTGAATGCTTTTCCATTTCAATAAGGAGAAAGTCAGCCTGCCACACTTTGACAAAAGAAAGTGGCACAAAAGTCATCATCGTCCTCATCGTCGTGGTCGTTGCCGAAGTCAAACAAAGCAACAATGATGGATTCACTTTTAATAAAATATTAAAACAATACGAGGCAGGCGTACTTACCACCCCCTCGCCGATGTGATGGACGGTGCAGGGAACGTGGGCAGTGGCTCCGATCTGGGTGGTCACCACCGTTGAGTTCTCGGTGCCAAAGTACATGGGCGTGCCAAAGAGATTTTCCATGCCGCCCTCAATGCCATTGGTGGCCTCCAGATGGTTCTCCACAGGCTCTGGCCGATGAATTGGTATGGGATATGGTCCGGCCGTATCTTTGGCCTGGATCCGGGAATGAGAATGCGTCTGTAGCACCGGCTCCTGCAGGTGTGTCGGCTGACTGGGCTGGCTTTGGCTTTGGCTATGGCTTTGGCCATCGATCACGTTGGTCGAGTCGAAGCTGGTGATGCTGCTGCCACCGCCGGTTGCGGCACTTTGGGCATACGGCTGGGGCACGGGCACCGGTTCGCCCCCCTTCGACTGTGACATAATTAAATTTTGATTTATATGCCGTACTGATGGCTCACTGCCCGGCGTCGCTACGGTGGAGGCTTCTGTTTTCCCAATGCTTACACCTCCTCCGGCTGTTCCTCCTCCTCCGCCCTCGGCTGGCGTGGCTGATGCTGTGTGGTCTGCGGAGGGGAAGAGACAGAAAAGACGAAGTGACATTTTAAAATGTGTTAATATATGCGCTGTCCGGCGGCGCCGCAACAGTTTGTCGGATAAACAATAACAGCATGAAGTCAATTAATTTGAAAGAGCACGAAGCGCGTGCGTATACGTAATATTTTACAACAGATTTTCATTAGCACGAGCCCAGCGAATCTGCATAAACTGACAGGACTAATTAAGCTACCGACTTTTCAAGCTTTCGTTGAGTTTGCTAACTTACACAACAAGAAAAAATGACAGGTCCTTAGGATTAGGTGGGACTATAAGGTTGAAGGACATAAATCATATTTTAATGAAAACTTTTGACTTCATGAATGGATCTGTGTTGTGTTGATTTAAATAAATATTTCTTTAATCTAAGGATTTTTTAAGTGGGAAAATAAAGAATACTTTCCCTTAATTAGTATAATTTAAAAGTTGCAAGTCTATTTCGCCTCCTCCCATTCCGTTTTAGTCACACTTTCCTATCCACATCTGGAAAACAGGCAGACATTCCACCCGCAGAACAGCAACCACATTACATATTACCCGTTTTGGGTTTCGGTTTTATTTGCACTGCGTAATTTGTGTAAAATTCGTTGGGGCAACAAAATAATAATTCACAATTAAAGATAATTGCTTTTGGCAAACATGCTTGGGTCTTGTTTAGCAGCGGCAATTAGGCTGAATTTGCCAGGCTGTAAATTCAATTATGACAATGCATTTGGGCTCGCTTTTGATTTTGATTTCTTTGCCACAAACTGTGGTGAAAATGTTGGTGTTTGGCTTTAATTTGGCCAGGACCAGTCCGTGGAGACTGGCTTGTCATTGTCCAGGGCTCACACCATAAATATTTCATCTCAATCATTGGAAAATTTATTATGTTTGGCCTGACGGTGATTGAATTTGCCAACCGACCATTAGCCAAGGCGCCTGCATTGAGTGCATTGAATAATGCAAAATTAATTAGTTATGGAATTCGCCTGGGGCCCCGTTTGGCATTGCAGTTTGATCTTAATTAGCACGTTGCTAAGACGCCAGATTTGCCATTAATCGAAATGGTGAAAGGTATTTCCAATAGAATCTCTCACCCTCTGGTGAGCCCAAAAGGAATTTTCCCTTAAGTTCTCTGTTAGACCAGGTATGAAAATCAATTTACCCAGCAGCAGTGACACATGCGAACAATCGAGTCAATCAATGCAGCTTCTTCTGATTGACACCTTAGAAATCGCTTGCTTCTATTGCTACTCCAATTGACATGTGAGAGAGTGTGTGTGTGTTGCCACAGCAATTTGCAATTGCAGCCGCACAACAGAAAGATTCCTGATCCTGGAGGTCAGCCAGCTCTCGCAGTTCGCATTTTGCACTTTGCGGTTTCTGTATTGTTATGCTGTGGTCCTACAACCTTATGAATGCGAAGAAGCTCTCCAGGACCTGTCACACTCAGGGGAATGTTTTTTACTTCGGTTTTTTGGCTTAAATTGCCCTTCACGGGTACAATGTCTTTGTGGGCTTGAACGTCCAATATGCGTTTTTTATTATTATAGAGCTTAGAGTGAAGTAAAAAGTTCTAATAGTAAGGAAAATGATAATGGGAAAAAGCCTTCAAGGTAAGAAAACCCTTCTCTTATTTTCTCTTTATTTTTAAGACTTTTTTCTTAGTGTATTGACTGTCAAGACTTCTTGTCCTGCACGCACAAAACAAACAAATAACCAGCTCGGGACAATGCGATTGCTATTGCCGTCGTTGTTGGTGTGGCTGCTGCGACTGTTGCTGCTGTTGCTGCCTCTTATGGTGCTGATGTTGGTGTTGCTGCTGCTCATTGGCACGCAGAACTTGGCCAAAACTGAATCGTGGCATTTTCGTCACGTTCGCACGTGACTGACTGCTTGCGACATGCAGCTTTTCCTGCCCGGTTTCCCTAGCTTTCCACTTTTCCTCCTCTCCATCCACTACATACGTAAACGTAATCGTAATGGTCGCTGGCGGACCGCAAAACAGCTTCTGAACTAGTTGCCAGTTGTTGTTGTTGTTGTTGCAAGTTGCTGTTGCTGTTGCTGCTGCGGTGTTTGACTGCCTGCCTTTGGCCCACTTTCTACCGTGTAAATTTGCATTCTTTCGATGGTTTGTGCGACTTTGTAATTGAATTTTTCACGGCAAGTTGTTGGCCAGCATCCGGTTGGCTGTTCGTATTTTTCTTGTTTCCGGCGGTTGGGCTTTGGATTTACAATCGGTCCGCATTGTGCAACCGCTGCTACCTGCGCATTGTCAACAGCAAAGAGATTCACGTTGGGCCAAAAATTTCCCGACTCAAAACCCGAAACCCCAAAAACCAAACGAAACCACAAACATGTTGCACCATCGCCATAGAGATAGAACAACATTTTTGGTGGGGATTTGGCAACTTTTCGTTTTCGGCAAAACATTCGCAATTTGTGTGCGTTCGCTAAAGTTTCATTCGTCGTTTGCCTCATGCTCCCATGCTTACCCATGTTTTGCTACGACATTTTAATCAAAAGTTCGCTGCAAGCTGCCTGATTCCCCTGCACCCCCTTAGAGCTTCTTTACCCCCCCTGAGTCCTTCCTGGGCGCAATCCCGCTGCTCAACTAATATCAATGATTTCTCATGTGCTCGTGTCGACGCCCCACTGTGGCAGTCGTGGAATATTTATGCTCCTTGTGACATCATGGCTTGACATTAATTAAGTTTGCTTGCGCTCACACGGCGTATGCGTGATGCCAAATGAACGAGCTCAAAATCCTGCTTTTCACAAGCGAATTTTGAACAAACGATGGATTTGAGTAAGAAAAACAACGGATGAAATCATGGATTTATTTATAAACATTTTTTAAAGGATTTTAGGATTGAGAAATCTTCGTCTTTGTGTAGGAAGATGGCCGAGAGTTTATTAGCCTTAGAATTTCCCATCTAAGACTTCTTGGAATGCTTTTTATTATTTAATGAATTGAATTTCTGCCAAAAAGTAGAGCATAATATCAAAGAAAATGTCAGTAAATGTTAAAGAATTTGTTCTATAATAAATTTAAATAACATTTTAAACTGCAACCTGGGCCAAGCATTAGCTAAAAGTTCGCCTGTCTGATTTGCCATTTGGCAAAATTAAATTACTTCAATGTCTCTCTGCGTTGTCATCAATTAAATTAAAGGCTTCGCATAAAAAGGGACATTAGCAAATATCATTATGATAATTGTGCGGGCTAGCAACATCCTGTGTGGGGACTCATTAATTTCATTTGATTTCATATTTAATGCTACGAACAATGTGCGCATAAATTTCTCTAATTAAAACACAAATAAATGGCGACTACATTTCCGATTGTCCTTCCTTGCAGCATAATTTATTCCATTTGGATCTAAACTAAATTTGCGGTGGCAGTTATTTACAACAATTGACACAAAGTGCGGGCCAACTTTTTACGGCCATCGAGAGTGCACGGGGACAATTGACCATAAAACATCGACTCGCTGCAGTTGGCGAATGTAAAAGTTTTAATTAAATATATTTGGACGAAGAGTGAAAATTTAACAATTAGAGATTTGCCCTCCCAAGGCCAGCTTCAACATATTTTTAAAGTAAACTTTAAAACTTTACAGTGGACGGGGGCCCAGCTAGCTTCATTACGAAACTTTTCCGTTTGAGGAAAAGCGCGCTCGACGTTTTCTGTTTTTATGGCCAAATATTGTTTGTTTGTTGTTACATTCAGAGAGTGTTTGCATTTGACACTTGGCGGTAATTTGTGTGTAAATGCGTCAACTGGCCCCCGCGAATACAACCTCAAAAGCCTGAGGGCCCAGGAAGAAGATTTCCCGGAGTATTTCTGGGAACGTGAAACTTTCCACCATTTAATTGAAATTCTGGAAAATGGCCCCACGCATGCCTGCTTTGTAACTTTTCGCAACTTCTAAGGCAGAAAGTTGATCGTTTCGGCCAAACGATTCACTTTGCGACTGTCATAATTTTGATGGCCGCAAGTGTAAAATCAGATAAGTGCGCCACACACTTGCCGCTGACTATTCGCCCATTTATTTTCCAATAAAGCCCTCGACAGGGGCGTGGCAATCATTAATGTCGCGAATCCAGAACGAAATAGCACTAAGGACCATAGCGCTAGACTCTCTCGTAAAAAGGCATTAAGAGCAAAAGTAAAGTGCCTATTTAAGTTGAGTCATAAAATTGGCTTTCTATCTGGCCGAAAAAGCGAGAAAAAGGGAATGGCAGATGGCAGCCAAAGAATGTCGAAGCCATTTTGAGGGAGACTCTAAGGGCGGGAATTCTAATTTTATTTATTTTATTTCAATTCGTGTCTAAGTGCCCAAGTTGGGGGTTTTACGTTGTGCCCCACACAATATGCTACAGCTCACTCCAAAAGCTGGCAAGTTTTAAATAGTTGCTGGCAGTGGAAGCCCTTGTGGGATATCCCAGCTAATTGAGGAGTCTTGTGAGGGGAAGCTCTTCGAGTCAGGCACTGATGAATCCCTTAAAAGTATCTATTTTTAGTCTCTATAAATAATAGCCTTCCGCTTTCTACATCTACCCACAAACAAGATACCACAGCGGATTCATAAATTATGACAGCTAAATAAAAAAGGTACAAATTCGTCTCAGCGGGTCTTTGTATGAGTCGATGGGAAAATCCCTCATCCAAAGCCAAGTGAAATCAAACGGAAAGGCGGCGAATGGGAAAGAATTCATATAAAAGAGCATAAGTTAAGTGCGGAGTGGGTGTTGGGGAATGTTTTTCAGCATAATGAAGATTTATATATTGAAGAAGACATCGCCGACATTAGGGGGATTTGCCAAATTGCAAGCACGTGCGAATTAGAATGAGAATGCGGTTAGAACCTAAGCCAGGAATCTACGGTTCGGTGGGCACTTTGAATAGTCGAACCTTGTGGCCCTTCAATAAATGTTTAGTATCTGGCAGCGGCGGGAATGTGGCAAGTACATAAAATTAAAT